AACCATATTCTGTCCCATTTGTTCAACCCTCATGACCACGTAGATTTCATAATGAAAACAACTTTTTTTTTTGCAAAACTTTTTTTTTATTCGCACGCTCGCATCAATTTTGGGGTTCCCGGAGGATGTCATCCATATAATCAAATCAACATGGCCTTACCAGTCCTAGTTTAGAAGGTACCAACATCAGAGAGATGTTGACAACTGCACGTATCTGACAATGGCGGTATATGCATTTGACAGTGAACATGTATACAGAACCTCTTTGTGTCGGATGGTGTGGCGTAATGGCAGAGTGCTTGACTCGGGTGAACCAAGAGGTCCCGGGTTCGAGTCCTGACATGCCACCGAACTTGTGCTCTTGGGAAAGGCACTTTACACGACTTTCCTCACTTAACTCAAGTGAAAATGAGTATTGTCCTGTCCTGTATTTGTCATCTGCATTGGTGGCGGTTTAAAATAAGTTGATATAACTTGAGTGTGCCGTCACCATGTCTAGTCATGAAATGTTGGATTATAAAAAAAATCTATGCATCTGTCTCACCTGTAGATGTATTTCCTGCTGAGAGTGTTGTTGATAGGGTACGAGGTGTTGGGGTACACCCATCCGTCCACACCGAACCCCAGGGCGCTGGAGATGGCGAAGTAGAAGCAGGCGTTCCAGTGGATGATGATGAAGATGTAGAGGACGAGGTTGATGATGCGGAACAGGTTGGGAAAGTTCGTCCGTGTCTCCGTCCGCTCGAAGCACTCCAGCGCCCTGCGGACCCGCAGCAGGCGGGGGAAGCGCAGCTCGGGCTGGTCGACCGTCCCCAGGGCGATGTACAGGAGGTCCAGCGGCAGGATGGACAGACAGTCCAACTTGAAGTTGAACGTGGAGATGTAGTGTTTACACAGCTTCTTCACATCTTTCACCAACAGGCCTTGTTCGAGGTATCCTAAAGGTAAAGATGACAATGTGATCAATACGATCTACTGGACGGCGGCAGATATCGACTTCTGGGCACCGTTGACCTACTCCTGACGTCACACATCTCATAGATCATTGCGCGTCAGGAAAGTGTCAGTAGTGAAAACCCGTAAAGAAAGATCTACTGTTACTTATCTCAAAGCAGATACATCAGATGCTCTCTTATTGAGAACTATTCTCCAACTCATCGGAATTTTCGACCGAATCTCTTGGTCTTTATCAACTATCCGGCCCAAGTGCTGTAGACACGTGTTTTTTCCGCACGTATGACGTCAGCACTGGGTCAGAGTTCGTTGGAAGTCGGTACCGCCCCCCGTCCCCAGCTCTCTTACCTGTTCTAAACCTGACCGCCATGTCCATGATGTAGATGGCGTCACAGATGTAGTCTAGCGTCATCCACAGTCTCCAGTAGTCCGCCTGGAGCTGGAGAAACACCGCCCTGGTGATGAGGATGGTCCAGTTGTACAGCACGGCGGCCGTGATCACCAGCAGCCACCGGTAGTAGAAGTTATCGGCAGGGTCAATCACGTAGTCAGTCCACCTCTGTCCTTTACCTTTACGTACCCTTTACGAGCAGAGAAAACATTTCATTCAGAAATATCCTTCACACTCAGACATCAGTCCACCTCTGTCCTTTCCCTTTACGTACCCTTTACGAGCAGAGAAAACATTTCATTCAGACATATCCTCCACACTCAGACATCAGTCCACCTCTGTCCTTTACGTACCCTTTACGAGCAGAAAAAACATTTTATTCAGGCATATTCTTCACACTCAGACATCAGTCCACCTCTGTCCTTTACGTACCCTTTACGAGCAGAAAAAACATTTTATTTATAGGCATATTCTTCACACTCAGACATCAGTCCACCTCTGTCCCTTCCCTTTACGTACCCTTTACGAGTAGAGAAAACATTTCATTCAGACATATCCTTCACACTCAGACATCAGTCCACCTCTGTCCCTTCCCTTTACGTACCCTTTACGAGTAGAGAAAACATTTCATTCAGAAATGTCCTTCACACTCAGACATTTCTTTTTTGTGAACATGCACCATCTTTAAGTGCCTCTAAACATTAACAACGTGACGCTTATTTTTCGGGGACGTACTGGATTATTTGAAGGTATTACATGTAAGTCGCTTGTCACCGTAAACATGTCGGGCAGGTCATTGACCCTTAATTGTACCTTTCTTGTGGCATTGACGTCATTAAGGAGGCATTGTGATAAATGAATTGCATTGCTTTTCTAATACCCCTATTTGCGTGAATTTGCGTGTCATCCTTGTGCTAATTATCTCCCGTGTGTCTCCAAACTGAGATCTTTTTATGTTTACCGAAGGAAAACATATATATTGTTTTTGCTCAGTTTCTTCTTCTTCTCCAAATAGTGACCTCTGACCTGACCAATGACATGATTTGTTGACGTCTGTCACCATGGTGACTGGTGTTGGGTTACATCATGTTGCAATTTCATGGTCTGCTATACTCCTGTCACCATATACTCGTAGTACATGTATGTGAATGTGTTTGAGTAAAAACTAACAGGGCAGACCATGTCCGAAGGCAAACATTACAAACATTGCTTTGCAAATGTTACTTCTCTAGTTTGTCTTTAGTTTTATTTCCAAGGATTCTGTGAAATCAGGCCGGTGGGTTTTGCTTAGCTAGAGTTGGTGACGTCTCGGGTATGAGACGTGGCACAGTTTGATGTATGCCTTCCATTTCATTAAGCTTTTAATGAGGCTATTTCTCCCCCACTGAGATCGTCTGGCTGACCTGGAAATCGGATCACAGGAGGCAAGAGCTATAGTTGCCATGGCAACGCCTATGACGTCACCTAGATTAGCCTTAGAGGCTCCCTTCCGTCTCAATAAGGTCACCCGGTTCGAGCTACATTGTATAAACTAATGATAGTCTCGGTCTCAGACGTCGGCTAGGCTAGTAGCAAAAATATAGCCTGGAAACTCATAGATGCGATTTCATTTTGTACATGATTTTAGATACTAATTCGTCACTGTATAAATGTTTTGCCAGTGCTGTATTTTTTCATTGAAATAAAGAAAGAAAAAATATAGAACTTTTCGAGTTACTAGTGAATTCTTTCATCAGTGACAACTTGGAAGGATAAGGATACTAACCTCCAAATTTTCGATGGCTATCAGTCCATCTTGTTCATGGAGTGGCCTAATCTCGCCATCGAAAATTTGGAGGTTAGTATCTTTATATCCTTCCAAGTTGTCACTGATGAAAGAATTTACTAGTAACTGTATCTATACGTGACAAATGAATCTCTTCAATGAGAATTTTTCGAAAATTAAAAAAAATCATAGATGCGAAATGAATGGGAAGCTTTGGTAACGAGTCCTATTTGTTCCCAAGGTTTGGAGAAGAACACCTTTGTTGTTGCTGCTGCTGCAGTAGATGACTTAGATCAAATAAAGTTGTTTGTCTGCTACAGGACTAACGTATGTTGGATATCCAACGTTATATGAAGGAGGCCTGTATTTGTTCCCAAGGTTTGGAGAAGAGCATCTTTGTTGTTGTTGCTGCTGCCGTAGATCAAGTAGCTCAAATAAAGTTGTTTGTCTGCTACAGGACTAACGTATGTTGAATATCCAACGTTATATAAAGGAGGCCTGTATTTGTTCCCAAGGTTTGGAGAAGAACACCTTTGTTGTTGTTGCTGCTGCCGTAGATCAAGTAGCTCAAATAAAGTTGTTTGTCTGCTACAGGACTATTGAATATCCAACGTTATATAAAGGAGTCCTGTTCAATGCGGTAGAGTTGAAGCCCCATCTAAAAACCACTAACGAGTACGAGGCAAATGGTTACATAAAAGCTGCATTGACATAAAATTTAGTCATTCTGGGTACGATTGTAGGATATACGTAGGTATAACTCTGGGTATATCATAAAATGGCGTCATTTGAACATTCTATGTATTATAGATTTCATTTAAAATCCACGAATCTCTTTACCTCAGGAGCAAGTCTAATAAATGAATTCTGTATCTGTGCTTAATTTATAGATTACCGGCCCCTACATACGTGTGTCTGTAACGCTGTGTTTGTGCCGAATCTAAAAGGTTTAAAGGCATCCAGTGTAGTTTTTAAAGCCAATATTCTCAGTCATTTACATATTGAGTTGAAACCACACTGTCTCAATGTATATTGACTCTCATGGAGCAAAACTTCCCAAAATTCTGACGGAAAAATGGTCACTGGAAGGGCCCTGGGCTGATTTTTAGGGTACCACCCAGAAAATAAAGGACCAATCTTGGCGCTTGTTTCTGCAACTGTAAAAGCCCAAAGTGTAGAATACTGACTCAAATGTGCTAATGTGAAACAGTATGTGTCAATATCACAAAGATTGCCTTATTACCTTCGCCAAGAAGGTTATGTTTTCAGAGGCGTTCGTGTATGTGTGTGTGTGTCTGTCTGTCTGTCTGTCTGTCAACACTATAACTTGAGAAGGCTTAGTAGGACTGACTTGATATTTGGTAGGTGGGTAGGTCTTGATGAGACCTCAAAATGATTGGATTTTGGGCCGCCCGGCGGCTTGTCATGGTACTGCAGCAGAACTTCCGGGTTTGATATCTCACGATCCAGACATGCAAGGGTAACGAAATTTAGGTGGTAGATAGCTCTTGTGCTGGGGATGAAGTGACATGAGTTTGGGCCCCCTACTTGCTTGCTCTAGAACTGCAGAGGGGTTTAAAGGACAAATGTTTAAAAGAGGATAACTCAAGAACCGATTGATGGATAATCAGGGTTTTTGGTGTGTAGGTAACTTAAGTGATGTTTGACATAATAATGTGAGTATTATGCAAATATTACCGTAATTTGCATAATTCATGAGGAAATTCTATAAATCAGTTGCATCACATAATAGGACTATTCAAGCTTGTGGCATATGTAATTGAGACCAAGAGAAACACAGGCAGATATCGATTATGTAAATTAAGACTTAATTTGCATAATTAATGAGAAAATGTTATAATTCAGCAATGATAACTGCCTCGAATTCCATACTTAGGATATTTGAAAGTTAAATGAAGGTGAACATCATTAAACATCAACTCAACATCAATTCAAATAATGACCTCATTTGCATAATTTATGAGGAAATGCTAAAATGGCATTCTTTGTTAAGATAAGACTGTATGTCTTTTATTGATATCTCACGATCTAGACATGCTAGGGTCACAAAATTTGAATGATAGGTAGAATGTGCTGGGGAGGACGTGGCGTGAGTTTGGGCTTCCTAGAGGCTTGCTCTGGAACTACAAGGACATTTGTTTAAAAGTATTTAAAAGAGATTACCTCAATACCCGAGTGACGGATAGTCATGATTTTTGGTATGTAGGTAGCTTAAGTAATGCTTGGCATAATTATGTGACAGTGATGCAAATATGGGTGTGATTTGCATAATTTATGAGGTAATTCATAAATCATATCTGTGGTCAACATAACTTAAGAATACACTATATATATATATATTGGATACATTGATGAGTGACAGTGAAAACGAAGGATGCTCCTACCAGTTTAGATACAGTGCACTACAGTACAGAGCAAAATGAGGCAGGTTTTTGTTTTCAACACTCTACAGTCAGTAGCACCTTTGGCCTGAAATATATAGGTCAGGCTGTAATAGAATCTGGTCAACTGTACATACCGAGGGAGAACGTCATCAATCAAACTGGTAGCAAGCCCCACTGCTTCCACACGTGTTTTGCTTCCACACGTGTTTGGCGTTAGAGGAGCTGTCTGACAGCTGGTGTTTTGTTGCATAAACCACACACGCCTTTCCCTGCCTTGCACAAAGGAGATGCATGTTGCATCAGCCAAGTTTGGTACCTTTAGCAAATGGAACTCGTTTGTCCGTGGGAGACTTTCAAGAGACCTGTATACAGCATGGATATTTTAAATGAGAAGAGGCTTGAGCCGAGGAAAGGAGGATGACCGGTGAGTAAAACTATTAGACCTAACAAAGGGATTTGTATGGTTTGTTTTTACAGACCCCTTTGTCTGATCTGCTAAAGCTGGATAGTGTTTCGGGGGCCCGTTAGGGACATGGAAGTTTCCTTTCTATTAAAGTAAGAGATATTCAAGACATGTAGTCGATGTTACCCATTCAAAGTTATCACGAAGAATATCTAGTGTCCGCAAATAATTTTGTCTGTCAACTTGTTTGTGAAACATTTTCATAAACCATTAATTTAAAGGGCATTAGATTAAAGGTATGGAGTAGGAAGTCAGGAAGTTGCCATCTATAGGAATTCATTTGTGGACAAGTGGGGTTCAGCACTCAATTTTGGCATTTCAGTGCGTGGGCATCATTTTCAAGGAAGGCACCAACTTACAACATAGTAAAGCTGCATACATTTATGTATACATGTAACTTTCCAAGCAGATAAGCAAAGCAAGAGACAAGCTTGCCTCGTTTTCTATCAGCTCTACCTTTTCTGAGAATTTTGTAAAACCATACTTTATGTATTTTACAAACAAAATACTTAATTTCTTACAGCAGCACTACTAAGAACATCAGGAGACCAATCAAAATTGAACAAATAAGTACGCTGTCAACAGAAACGTCAAAGCATAACTATGCCTAGGTCAAGGTGCAAAAGTGTAGATCAGAGGAAAAGGTTGATCTCTGCGTGTAAGAAAAGGCAGAGATTAAATGAGACGTCAGACACTGCTGAGAAAAGGCGTAGGTCTGACCGGGACAGCAAGAAAAAACAGAGATTAAATGAGACGTCAGACGCTGCTGAGAAAAGGCGTAGGTCTGACCGGGATAGCAAGAAAAACCAGAGATTAAATGAGACGTCAGACGCTGCTGAGAAAAGGCGTAGGTCTGACCGGGACAGCAAGAAAAACCAGAGATTAAATGAGACGTCAGACGCCGCTGAGAAAAGGCGTAGGTCTGACCGGGACAGCAAGAAAAACCAGAGATTAAATGAGACGTCAGACGCCGCTGAGAAAAGGCGTAGGTCTGACCGGGACGGAAAGAAAAAACAGAGATTAAATGAGACGTCAGACGCTGCTGAGAAAAGACGTCTGTCTAACCAAAAAGCCATGCAGAGTTTGAGACTGAATGAGACACATGAAGCTGCTAAGACAAGGCGTATGTGTAACAGAGAAGGCATGCAGCGTTTCAGATTGAACGAAACACCAGCAGCTGCTACAAAAAGACGCATGTATAACAGAGAAGCAGAGAAAAGACGCAGAGAAGAAGAGGCTGTAGAAGCAGCCGAGAGGCGCCGCGCATTTAACAGAGCTGCCATGCATACACATAGAAAGCATGCTACACAGGAAATTGTTGAGGCAGGACGTGCATCTGCAAGGACCCGAATGAAGAAAAAAAGAAGAGAGGAACAAAGCAAGGACATGACAATTGAAGACTGTGCCACCTGCTTCAGGTCGAAAATAGAGGAAGGGCCAATTTATGCTTGCATATCATGCTGCCGGCTGCTTTACAGAGCTACAGTCTTGGAAATGAAGGTTGAAAACTACCCGACAAACGAAACAACAAATGGCATACTTCAGTCCAAATCAATTGGTACAACATGGCAAACTAATGGCAAGTCCTGGGTTTGCCAGACGTGCCATAGATACCTTAAGAAAGGAGAGCTCCCAACCCAGTCATGGTTTAATAACCTTGACCTTGCCCCTGTACCTCCTGAATTGCAAGATCTGAGGCCGTTAGAGTTGAGATTGATCAGCCAACGAATACCATTTATGAAACTGGTTGCATTACCCCGTGGAGGACAGAAGGCCATTCACGGGAGTGCAGTAAATGTTCCCTCTAAGCTACAGTCAGTGGTATCTATATTGCCCAGATTACCTGAAGCTGCTCAAGTTGTTGCATTTAAACTGAAAAGGAAACTATCTTACAAAGGCCACTACATGCATGAGTACATCAGGCCTCAAAGAGTAATGCATGCGTTAGAATGGTTGAAGAAGAACAACCCATTATACAAGGATGTTTCGATTTCTGCTGACTGGGAACAGCAATGGAGAAACCAAGACTGTGATTTATGGGAGGCCATGACAGCAAATGGTTGTGAGGATCCGGAGATAAGGGAGAGTTTGCCTGCATGTCCACCGTCTCCATGCCCACCATCTCCATGCCCACCATCTCCAAGCCCACCACCTTCATGCCAACCAGCTTCATGCCCACTATCTCCATGCCCACCATCTACTGATGATGGCTATCAGATTCTGAGAGATTTAGCAAGGAGGCGAAATCTTGAGATCAGGGATGTGCCAGGGGATGGAGACTGTTTCTTTCATGCTGTCTCTGTATCGCTTCCAGCAGCTGGTGTGCAAGCTATCCCTGGTCCCGAGTTAAGAACACGGCTAATCAACTACCTGGAGACCACAGAGTACAAAGAATTCAGTACTCAGGTTTCCTTACAGATCCTGTCAGATCCAGACCAACGCCAACATGCAACACGCATCAAGACCAACGGTATCAATCATACATTCATGGATTGCGAAATGGGGAATGGGCCGATTCCCTGGCAGTTCACGCTCTTGCTAACATGCTAAATATCAATATCAAAGTCATCAACACCATCACTCCCGACTGGCCGGTTGATGTTCATCCTCTACTGCAGAGAAGTCAAAACACAATTACAATAGGGCAGATTGGCGAGCTTCATTATGTGGCCTTGCAGGATGCTGGTGTCGTAGACTCAGAAACAGAGTCTGAAAATGAGGAAGATGAGGAAGATACAGTTGCCTTTCAGGAAACAAGCAAACTACGGGGTCTTCCTTATGACACCCTACTACAGGAAGAACAAGTTCCCAATGGCGACAATATATACTCTGTTGCGCCAGGGGAGAATCAAACACCCTGCGCTTTCTTCACTGATGATAGATTTGAAGAGCTTGCCAATCCATCTAAGTATCCGTATGGCCGCGGGGGGTTAGGTGAGAAGCGCCAGAAGGGAATCACGCCTCGGAAGTATTTCAACCTACGGCTTTTGCACAAGGATGGACGATTTGCTAAAGACATCGAGTACCTGCTGGCTGCACAATATTCAGTAGAAGCAAAGCAGATCAAAGATAGCATCCAGATCAATCTGCGCCAGACCAGGGGCCATACATTTCAGAATAGGAAGATCAACGCTGGCCTAATGAAGAACTTGGACAATGTACAGGCAATGCTGCGTACTGACAATGCGTTCAAGTTCTTGACGAACGTAAGGGGATCTCCACCCTACTGGAACAAAGCTCTACTGGATTTACTGGCCTATGTCCGACAGCTGGGCATACCCACGTGGTTCCTCACGTTATCAGCTGCGGACATGCAATGGCCAGAGGTGATCCAGAGTATTGCTCATCAATATGGAAGAAATCTGACGGCTGATGACATACAGAACATGACATGGCAGGAGAAGTCCAAATGGCTTCGATGCAATCCGGTTACCGCAGCCCGGCAGTTCCACCACCGACTAACCCTGTTTTTCAGCGAATTCATCGGAGGAAAGGCTAACCCGATTGGTCAACTCCAAGACTACATGATTCGCATTGAGTTCCAAGCCCGGGGGTCCCCCCATGCACATACGATACTCTGGATGAAGGACGCCCCAAAACTCGGTGTGAACAGTGACAGCGACGTGGTCAACTTCATTAACAAGCATCAAACCTGTGCCATTCCGGGCGAAGAGGAAGAAGACCTGAGGCACCTGGTACTCTCTTTGCAAAAGCATGTACATTCACAGACATGTCGGAGATCTGGGTCATGCAGATTCAGGTTTCCGCATCCGCCCAGCTGTTTGACCATGATTGCCAGACCATCCGAGGCAGATCCGTTAGTTGTAAAAAGGGACCTCAAAGTAAAAGAGGAGGTTTTCCGGAAAGTGCGTACCGTAATGGAAGACAAAAACACTCCTGAAGATATTTCCCTGGAACAGCTGCTGCAAAGGGCCAAGGTGGGTCCAGATGTGTACCAACAGGCGCTGAAGCTGACAAAATCAGGTGAACAAATCGTCCTTCAGCGTCATCCATCCGAAAGATTCATAAATCAATACAACCCAAGCATCCTTCAAACCTGGCGTGCTAACATGGACCTTCAATTTATTCTGGATGCATATTCATGCATCATGTACATTACTAGTTACATGTTGAAAGGGGAAAGAGCAATGAGCGAGGTGCTAAAGAAGGTGCTGGAGGAGAGCAGAGGCGATGACCTGAAATCTACACTGAGGAAGGTCGGATCAGCCTTTCTCAATAACAGAGAGGTGAGTGCACAGGAGGCTGTGTACAGGCTGCTTTCTCTGCCACTAAAAAGAGCCAGTAGGAAAGTGGTCTTTGTAAACACTGCTCCAAAAGACAAACGGGTGTCCATGCTCAAGCCGCGGAGTGTCCTGGACGCCATGGACGACGAGGACGATAATATCTTCTGTACGTCACCCCTCGATAGGTACGTGTGCCGACCGAACGTCCTCGAAAAAATGTCCCTAGCTGAATTTTCAGCCACGTACACAACCGGTGGAAGTTATCTGCCCGACGACCACATTCCAGATGTGCTGGATGGCAGGGATGAAAATGGTGCTGCCGACAATGAAGGAAGCAACCAAGACGACATGTATCCAGCCGTCATCACACTGCAGAACAACTTGGGCACCATGAGAAAGAGGAAAAAGCACTGCATCATCAGGTACATCAATCATTCACATTTTACATGACACTGCACACACTTGATGCTTGTTGGTGAGCTTTTGATTTCCGTTGTTGACATTGTAATAATAGTGCATATCACATACTCCTTGCAGGTTTCACAAAGAAAGAAAAGATGGCGAGGACAAGTACGGGAATTTACTCATGCTATACTTGCCTTGGCGAAACGAGGAAGTCGACATCAAAGCAAACTTCCCATCGTTCAAAGAACACTATGAACACGTCATAGACACCATCCGTGCCAATGAAGCGATGTTCAGCATAAACGCTGATGCAGTCAATGCAGCCTATGATGACCTGCGTCAAAATGGTCCCCCAGAAGACATGTGGGATAGTGTTGCTCCGAATGTGGAGTTCCAACAGGCTGAGCAACAAGATGAAGGAATAACTGTGGAGACAGAAGTATTCCAGGAAGACCAATGTGGAAACATCGACCTGGCCCCACATTCAACACCCAGTCCTAGTTGTGAACTTCACGCACGCTTTTCAGCAGAGATGAATAAAGTGCTGATGAGTTCAGAGGAATACAGAGCTATGATGCGGTCTTTAAACAGCCAGCAAATGGAAGTTCTCAGGTTTCATCGCAAATGGTGCAAAGATACCATCATTGCTCTGAAACAAAACCAACACGTGCCACAGTACACGGTATTTCTGAGTGGCCCCGGTGGAGTTGGCAAGAGCCATATAATCAAGTTGGTTCATCATGAAACACTGAGACTTCTCAGACCTTTGTCTGGACATTATTTCGACCCAAATGACCTCCCAGTTATGTTGACTGCCTTTACAGGAACAGCCGCGTTTGGCATTAATGGTATGACCTTGCACTCAGCTCTCAGCCTCAGTTGTGGTCTGAACAGGGGCAAAGACTATCAGCCATTAAGCAGTGACCGACTGAACACACTTCGCTCACGCTTGGGAAAGCTGAAGCTCCTTATTGTGGACGAGGTGTCGATGGTCGGTGCAGACCTCCTGTATCACATCCACCGCCGTCTGCAGGACATCTGTGGCAGCCCCGACCCTGACAGCCGGTTTGGAGGGGTCAGCATCCTGGCTGTCGGAGACCTGTTCCAACTCCAGCCTGTCGGTCAGAATCATGTCTTCGGCCTGCCTTCAGACAGCTACGCCAAGTTGCATGGATCTCTGTGGGAGGAAAACTTCCACATGATGGAACTCACGGAGAGCATGCGACAGAAAGAAGACCAAAACTTTGCAAACCTTCTGATGAGAGTAAGAACAGCCTCATGCACAGAAGATGACATTCACCTTCTCAAGTCCAGGGTCATATCCAGAACCGACCCAAGCTATCCATCAGAAGCGCTGCACGTCTTCAAAACCAACAGAGAAGTAGACGAGCACAATGCCAAACACCTGACAACACTTTCGTCAAAGGTGTTTGATATCAAAGCCATCGACTCGAAGAAAGATCTTCTAACGGGTTTCACTAATGTTAACATGTCCACCAAGCCAAGTGACACGGGTGGCTTGCGAGAAGTCGTGTCTGTAGCCGTGGGAGCAAGGGTGATGGTGACGGTTAATATTGACGTTGCAGATGGACTTGTAAATGGAACATTTGCAACGGTCGTTGGCATTGACAGCACAGGTCCTGATGTCCATACCATCCTGGTTAAGTTTGATAGTGATCGTGTTGGCAAACAAGCCATTACCGACAGCCAATATAAGCAGGCTTACCCCGGAGCAGTACCCATCAAAAGACAAACCGTTCAGTTCTTCGCTGGTAAGGGAAGACGGTCGGTCCAAGCACAGCGTGCTCAATTTCCACTGTCATTAGCATGGGGCTGCACCATTCACAAAGTTCAAGGCAAGACATTGAGCAGAATTGTTGTCTCAATGGAAAGCAAAGGTTGCTTCATGCCTGGTCAAGCTTACGTTGCTCTAAGCCGTGTGCGAAGCTTAAATGACTTGTATCTGCTGGGTTTTAAGCCAACATCAATTCGCGTGAACACAGCTGTTTTGGATGAAATGCTCCGTCTACAACAAGTACCTGTGCCGAAGGTTCCTTTGTCATGTTCTTCCACTGTAGGGAACAATGATCTCACAATCAAATTCCTCAACATCCGTTCCTATACGGAGCATTTACAAGACTTGAAAGCAGACAAAACAGCACTCCCCTTTGATGTTTTCTGCTTCGTCGAAACATTCCTGCACAAGAATCAACAGGCTGATCTATTCCTACCACATTCGCTATCCTTCAGAGCAGACAGAGTGGGAAGAGGAGGCGGAGTCATGACTGTTGCTAGACAGGACATTATCCCCACACAGCTACATATTCCGGTAGGGGGCCTGGAGTATACGGCGATTACTATCACCAAGGAGTCCACCACAGTTAACATTGTAAACATTTACAGACCACAGACCTTACCGGAAGAAGACTTCATCAACAGATTACAAAGACTTCTGATCTTACTTCCAAGTAAAATGATAACAGTTGTCCTTGGGGATTTTAATTTTGACCTCTTGAAATGCCCCCCTCCCAAAATTCTGAATGTGATGGAACAATTTGGCTTCAGGCAGTTCGTGCAATCTCCCACAACTGACTATGGTAGTCTTCTTGACCACGTTTACGTCCGCGGCCTTGATGAAGACAGTCTATTGGTAACTGTTCATGACACATATTATTCCGATCATGACATGGTCTGTGTTTCGTTGATGCTGTAAAATCTACCTCACTACACATTGTGATGTCTCATGTGAATTGTACAATTCCATTACACTGAAGTAGAATTTTGCAGCAGTGTTACTAAATATTGATCCGTGGTGTACATAGACATGTTTGTATGTGTAAATTTTATCTGAACATATAGATATTATTTATATATTTGGTTGCCGTTTTAGAAATGAAGAGAACTGTTTTGTACATTTTGCAAGGTCATTAATAAACATCACCAGATCAATGTGTCCATCAACATGTGTTTGACATCATATGCATCCGTCATACCTCATGTAACTTAAGTGAAAAGCACAATGTCTACATATAGATTATGCAAAGGATCCAGTACATGTAAATAGGGACTTAATTTGCATATTCAATGACAAAAATTTATGCTACAGGTAATTAAACCTGCTGCACGTTAATCACCATATTGATGACTTCACTAAAGGCTTCACCACATTGCTAGACTCCCGTATACCTAGGCTAATTTCAACATTCAAGGTTATTACTCATGCAAAATATAATCTTTATTACCTTCGCTAGTAGATCATGATCAGTCATAAAAGTTAAGATCGTTTGGCGAAGGTATGAGATCGTCGAACTCTAGTTCAGAATATTTCTAGTTTTGCTGCCCTGAAATCACATTGGATGCCTTTAAGAATTTCAAATAAGCATTCATGTCGCGCACGTCAACCATTTCCCAATGTCATCCTCTACACCCGCATAACTAGCTCTTAATTGGACCCTGTAAGCACCTGATGTATCCGCGGCTTAGCGCAAACAAGCAGCGTTCTCCCAACGGCCACATCACTCGCGGGAATATCTGTTATGTCTCCAGTTTATTTAAGTCTCAGTAAAAACCTTCAAAAGTAATTAGAAACCATTCTGTACGATTCGTCTGAGCACTTTGAACAGGTCGGAACGGCAAAATGTGCGGGTAAATGTTACCCTATGATGGCTAGACTCCTCAGTCAAATTATTCCCGCCATTTGGGTAAATTTTATTTATTTATTTTTTTTTTATCTATGTCAGCTCTCACTCAGCATTAGCAGCAGGACTGAGTTAGTAGACAGAACGCTGTCAAAGTTTTGCTCTGAGGAATAACTTCACGTTTGAATCTTTGTCTGTCCCTGATCTCCCTTGGAAGACTGTTCCAGAGCCTAACAGTTGTTGGTACAAAAGTTCTCATATGATTGTTGGTGTGGGAGACAGGAACCACCAGATCGAGTGTATTTGTGTTTATTATGTTAACCTTCACAGAAGAAAAACATACTGTTTTTTCTATGTTTCTTATTTCTTGTCTTCTCCAAACAAATAAGGTCAATGACCTAAACCAGACGTCTGTCACCATGGTAACTAGTGTTGAGTTACATTATGTTGCAATTTTACAGCAGGAGGGATTTAGAGTCCTGTCAACATATATATGAATGTGTTTGAGTTTAACAGAGCAGATCATATTCGATCATATTTGCTTTGCAAATGTTACCTTTCTAGTTATTCTTAAGCCAGTGTTGTTGGAGCTAATGGAGAAAAAATGAGCATGAGTAATGTAAATCATCATGAAAGTTCATCTGTGTTGGTAGTAATCATAGTAAAACGTTCAACTTTATTCCAACACACAATTTACAGGGATCAAATTTTCAGCGACCACTGTTGTAAACCGTAACTCTCGCGAGATCACGTTGTGAAGTGATTGGTCATTAATTATCCTGATGAAGGCGACAGTGGTCGCTGAAAATTTGATCCCTGTAAATTGTGTGTTGGAATAAAGTTTAACGTTTTACAGTAATGTAAATCATTGCCCGCATGATCTCGGCCTACCAGCAAATATACAGAGTATATCGTACAGACCGGACTCCTTTGCTAAGTAGGCCCGCTGACCAATGAGGTTTTATCATAAACCTCCTTGGGCTAACAAAACAAAACAAAACAAAAATTTGACCAAAAGTAGGGATTGATATTCCCATTATTTCCACTACATTACCGAATCAACAACCCTACCCAGTCCGGGATGTCTTTAGCACTTTCAAAAGCATGCCTACAGCCACCCAGTGTTGAGCCAAATCATTGAGCTGCCATATACGTGAGAGGTCAGGTGTTTAGGGATAGGGCTGGGGTTGGGGTTGGTATTAGAGTTAGGGTTAGGGTTAGGGTTAGGGTTAGAGTTGGGAATCATTGTTCAGGACTAGGGTTAGAATTACGATTGGGGTTAGGTTAGGTTTAGTCTCCCACATCACGACTAAACCTCTCCCACCCCTTGTCTAGGGTATATTGGAAACCCCCAAGTAGTGTCGGAGTCGTGTATTTGACAGGATCATGTACCAGGCTGGCTAGGAGAACCCGGACTGCAAAATTATGGAACTCCAAACAGCTGCTAACCGTCCGACTACAATCCACAAAGCTTCAAAACAAAGGTCCACCGCCATCTCCTGACATAACTATATTATACTCACTTTAGTACCTCTAGCTCCATGCCTAGAAGTGGCCAAAAATACTTGGCCTTGCATTGAGCGACACCGTTAAAAAAAACGTGTTCCGTACCTGTTTGCCACCTTGTTGCCCTGCGGTTCGGCCCCCGCCCGGGACACGTTGTCCCCCTCTCGGCTGTTACCCCCCTCATCCTCCTGGATCACCTGGCCCATGTGGAATCTCTGGAGAACAAAGACAAAGCTACACTTGAGACGTATATGGAGTAAAGACGTTCATGTCAAACGTCTGGAGAAAGACTCAGACGAAGGGGTCGTTATATGAAAAACACATGCAAATATTAGCATGAAAGTTCATCTGTGTTGGTATATAACATTATGATAACAGTTAAACTTTACGTGACCAACACTGAACAGAGACGGGGGGCGTCATAGGTTATCTGCCACGTATGACCCTCTGCTGCAACCACGTGTTTCCGACGTCACGTCCCGGAAGCTGCAGTAGAAGGGTCCATTCCGTGAACAAGACTAACGGAGTCAGTCGAAAATTTGGGGTAAGTCCCAATTTACTTGGTGTTGGTCACGTAAAGTTTAACTGTTATCATACATGCAAATATTTGTGTTTGCAAATGTGTCTATGCAACAATCTTTTGAACACGACCAAAGTGCAGCGACTTTCGCAGGGTTTTCGTCAACTATACGTACAAACAAGCAAGTGGATACAAATATATTAAAGTACGTACAAGTATGTGAATAAATCAACATGTTGAGTTTAGACCTACCCAGGTAATTAAAGAGACTCTTTTTACACAACCAAGTCTTTTATTCAGCCAACGTTTCGATGACCGTCAATGAAACGTTGGTTGAATAAAAGACTTGGTTGTGTAAAAAGAGTGTCTTACCAACCTGATGAAACTATTCACGAATGATCTACTAGATCTAGTTCTAAGGTCTTAATATTTATGTTTACCGAAGGCAAACATATTGTTTTTGCTCAGTTTCTTCCTCTTCTTCTTCTCCAAACACTAACTTCTGACCTGGCCAATGACATGATTTGTTGACGTCTGTCACCATGGTGACTGGTGTTGGGTTACATAATGTTGCAATTTCATGGTCTGCTCTGCTCCTGTCACCATATACTAGTTGTACATGTATGTGAATGTGTTTGAGTAAGAATTATAACAGAGCAGACCATGTCCGAAGGTAAACATTTTGCATTTGCTTCGCAAATGTTACTTCTCTAGTCTCTGATATATTTGCCTATTTATACAGAGTAAAGGTTATTTTATATATACAAGTCGGTTGGCCTTGCATGAGACCATGCTGAGATTGTAGGATAAATGATTACGGCTAGGATGTGTAAGTTATCGACCTGCAGGAAGGAGTCAGGCCGCGGGCCGTCCTCCTCCTCCCGTCTGCGGGTGGCCCACGTCCTGATGAGCTGCAGGGTCCGGACGATCCTGGACAGCGCGCCTTGGCGGGAACCCATCCTCGAGCTCCGTCTGGACGTGGCGCCTTCCGACCTGGAAAATTCCCGCGGTGAGATTTCAGTTCAGGCCTTTCCACAATACAGTTGCCAGTAGACGGACATGATGCCATTTCACAGTTTTCAGGACAGTCTCCTGTTATAAACCGTATTTGAAATTTTGATACAGGACGAAAGCACAGCCAAGTATGCCTAAATGCTAGATCTGCCTAAGTCAAAACTGAACAGAGTGCAATGCTTCATTTTTTCAACATTTCAGTGAAATGTGGAAAGTGTGCTCCACAGACAGTCTGCATACGTACGGACTCCAGAGACCATTCTGGGTGTATGAAATCTTGTCGTCAACCCTGTTTCTCGGCCAAGGGCATGAGAGATTATTACAAGAATCGCCAAGAAGATTAGTTAGGATTGGAACTAGGCCGTTCATGGAATTGAGTCGTCCGGGTAGAGATTAAACGAAAACCTTCAAATTTCCCAGTGGACGACGATATCCAGACTCTAGGTGGATTCATGTAATCACATTGTCACACTGTGGTGGAAAGTAACTTCCCAAACATGTCTTCATATGTACCAAGGACTAGCAGGCTGTGGAACTCCTTACCAGCCTCGGTTTTCCCTGACAGTCCTAATATGACTAAATTCAAGACTGCAGTAAACAGATTCTTGTTGAATTCCTCTTAGAGATTTTCTACTTTTTGACAATTATGAACCATGCAATTATGTATCTGTATCTGTATAGCCGGTATAACCGCCTTTCGGCGTAACACACCAGCTTCGCAGGCACGCGGCGCGGCGGCAGCTGGCTATATTACACCGATCGACTTGTTACACCTAACCCTTGAACTTCTAGCTCTAGACATTGTTTAAAGCTATCTATTGACAGTGCCCCTACTGTACTTGGTGACAGTATTATGTATATGTATTTGATAAGGGTATGAATGAATGTAATTATGCGAGGGGAATTGATGTGACATATGGAACCGAAGATCATCGTTATACGATGTTAAGTTCAGGTTCACTCTGCACTGATTAAAAAAAAAACGACTCCCCCCAAAACGTGACAAGACAAAGTCGTAAGTTGGCTGGTTTGTTAGTCAGTTATAGTTAACCAGCTAGTCAACCTAAGTTACGGCCTGGTCACATTCGTACAATTTTCATGTCGTAGGATTTTCAAGCAGACTGTGACAGACCTAACTTCCGACAAGAGTCTTTTTTTTATTCGTTCACATAGAAAAGGGTACAAAACATGGTGGTGCCGCACTTATTTTAAGTGGAAAGCACTTATGTTTACGGCACCACTAAATAAATACATATAATAAAGAAAAAACAAACGCAACTTTAAGACAGGCAAAACAGTAAATACAGGAAATTCAAAAGCGCAAGTCCGATTCCCCACCCAATGATAAATGATGGCAAAGAGAGGACACAATACATAGATAACAAAGGGGGAAATTGCCACTTGTGCCCACTACAAGAGTTGCAAATAGTCAATCCCAGCTACGACTGCGGAATGCCCACCACCTGCACATCCCCCGGAGTAGAACAAACACCTACAAAAACAGTTTCTTCCTGTACACTGCACGCCTGTGGAACCATCTACCCAGTGAAGTCACAGGGTCCGCCACAGTTAGAATTTCAAGGCCAAATGCAGGAACCACCTCTCATCAGATTACTAACTTTTAAACAACTTTTTAACTTTTCTGACTTTCCAACCGTTCCGTCTTTCCCTTCCACTTTTGATTATAGATATTATTAAGATTACTTTATTAATTTGATGATGTTGTGTCTTTGATATTGTATAATGCATTGATATGTTTTGCTATTTTGATATTCGTAACTTGTTGTTAGGTCCTGTATATTGTATTGACTTGTCCTGTGTTGTGTTGTATGTACCAGTGGCAGCCGCCACCAGCCTTCTGGCTGCCTGGCTCCCACTTGTAATGCGTTGTTTGGCATCACCAATAAATGAAATGAAATGAAATTGAACAAGAGTCTGACACAGCCTTTTCCGTAACAAATTTTATACGACACACCACGTCTATCCCAAGAATTCCCTCATATTGCGATCGCACGTACGACGATCGTGCAACGAATGTGATCGGACGTAAAAGTGTTGTACCTGCCGTCCTCTCCCGCCACCCTGATGATCTCTGAGCTGGTGTCGTCTATGGTGGAGACAGCTCGAGACACCGACCTTCTTACAGGGGAAAGAAACAAAATAGGAAAGCGTCAGAAAACGGTAGGAAGTTAGGTGACGTTAAACTTTAATGTGAGAAAAAATTGTTTTAACGATGTGTGCTCAAGGACAGAGATGGCGACTTACTGGTGTGTGCTCTGGGACAGAGATGGTGACTTACTGGTGTGTGCTCTGGGACAGAGAAATGTGACTTACCGATGTGTGCTCTGGGACAAAGATATGTAACTTACCTATGTGTGCTCTGGGACAGAGAAATGTGACTTACTGGTGTGTGTTCTGGCACAGCGATATGAGACTTACCTATGTGTGTTCTGGGACAGAGATATGTGACGTATGGGTGTGTGCACTGGGACAGAGATGGTGACTTACTGGTGTGTGCTCTGGTACAGAGATGGTGACTTACTGGTGTGTGCTCTGGTACAGAGATGGTGACTTACTGGTGTGTGCTCTGGTACAGAGATGGTGACTTACTGGTGTGTGCTCTGGTACAGAGATGGTGACTTACTGGTGTGTGCTCTGGTACAGAGATGGTGACTTACCGAGTACTCCGGAACGGGGATATGTGACTTACCGAGTACTCCGGGACACCGGAAATGTGACTTACCGAGTACTCCGGGACACCGGGAATGTGACTTACCGAGTACTCCGGGACGGGGACCGGTCTCCATCCTCCAACACCTCCAGTTCGTCCTCCATGACGGCGGCCTGGGGCTTCAGGGTCCGCCTGGGGGTGACGTTCCCTGCCGCCGGGGAGAGCTGCTGCTGCGCCCTGCCGGACTCCGGATCAGCCCCGGGCGTGAGCGTCTGACTCGGGCCGGCGCCGGGAGAGATCGTCACGGCCGTGGCGGTCAGAGCGTTGGCCGACAGCTCCATGAGCGGCTTGCCCCAGCCGGTTCTCTTCCCGGTCTCCCTGGTCAGGCACCCCGGCATGCTGCCGTCTGACGTCTTCGGTCCGCTGTCCGACTTCGCGGCGCCGACTTTCCGGTTTAACGTCCACCATTTTGACATGATTTCTTCGTTTTGATGTCTTTTCTAGTCTTTTACAGCCATAGATATAGCTTGCCGCAATCCACAAAATGCTTAGTGATGCCGACAAACATCATAACAAAAAAAACTATATAACAGCATCGATCATCATCGTAGTTTTACATTTCAAGTGACCTGGACAATTCTTGAGCTCCGTCACGCCATTTCCTACTGTTCTCTTCGGATACGGCCGCTAGTGTGTCTTCATAAGTCCAGGTGGGGAGTCATCTTGTGAATCTGTGTTTGCAAAAAGTTCGTGTTAAGAATACAATGTAATTACAGAGCTCTTGGATAGAATACAGTGTGTAAGTACAGGATTCGTGTTTGAATAATTATGAGCAAAGGGTTCGTGTTTAGAATAGAGTGAAAGACTTTTTTCTGGAATACTATGTATTTACAAAGCTGGCATTGCATTCATTTTTATATTAAGTGTCAGCGTTAGAATATGGTACAAGACAGTAGATTCCATTGTTACTACTCTCAAGGCAGCTATAGAGTGTTCTTCGCTTATTTTTCACTTCAAAATTTTCTTCATCCTAATGCAAATACCGTTCCACATTACCAACGGAAAGACGCGTACACGAAATTAATCCATTACAAAAATATGTTACCATTCATTTATATCACAACCATGTTCTACATACATAAAGATGCGTACAAGAAAATGAATCTATCACACAAACACGGACTAAGTCACGCATGTAGCCATCCATTTATATCACAACCATGTTCTACATACATAAAGATGCTTACATGAAAATGAATCTATCACACAAACACGAACTAAGTCACGCATGTAAAAACATCCATTTATATCACAGCCATGTCCTAATTCTTTCACACGCGAGCTCCCACCCCGAGTCACGTTCTAAACGTCTCCACTGAACTCTGTCGACCCGCTGAAAACATTTCTATTAATCCGCGAGTGCTTCTGCTAATAGTGCGTCATAGCTGGGTCATAGCCTGCTCTGACAGTGCTTAATGGCCCCTGATATTCAACATTACCCAAATTGTCCTTCTGACCCGTAACAAACAATCTCTCCATCATGCTGATGGCTGTGTGATTCCAGCGGCACACACTGATGATAATATATATAATCCTGTACTACACACTCTTCTATTAGGTAGATTAGGTAGATTATATGGATGACATCCGCGCGCGCATGAATTTTCGGCCATTTCCAAAAAAAGTTTTCAACAATACTGTAAATTGTACAAAACAGTTGCAAAATGAGCAAATATATACCGTAAGTTGAAAAAAAACATTGGAAAACAATACCAATGTCGTAGAATGCGAAAATAAAACGAAGAAGACGAAAATGCAAAGAAATGAATTTGAAGACTAGATTATTCGCCAAACCATACTCTGAGTCATTTGTACAACCTTCAAAACCACCTAGATTTCATAATGAAAACAACTTTTTTTGCCAAACTTTTTTTATTCGCACACGCGCATCAGTTTTGGGGTTCTCAGAGGATGTCATCCACTGATATCATCAAATCAACATGCTAATTGCTAAGGTTGTTATGTTTTCTGGGTCCCCCATTTCTCATATGGCACACAGAAAGCGTTATGATACTATTTTTCCCTTCCAACGTCTGTTTGGCGATGAAGGAGATCGTATTTCTCTTTGTGGAGATTATATTTTAATGCCGCCGCTTTTGCTCTCATGACAAACGTTAACGCACGGTCACATGGACACCCTATACTAATCCCTGCATACGTACATGCGAGTTAGTCACATTTGTAACTTGATATCCCAAGACCCCGGACATTAGAATTAAGTAGCATGCTGTATTCCAAAACATGATATTTAATTTCGACTTAATGTTTGGAAATGTGTTTTGGAATACATGTACAGCACCGAGCAAGCCGAAAACAAGCAATTGACCCAATATTTTTCTAGATTTTTTAACAAACTTTATTATCATTCACAGTACAACAATACAAAAAAAAACACAAATTGACCCAATATGGTCACTGACGCATCTGAAAAATTGCAAAATTGCAATATTTCCCCGGACTGCAAAATTATGGAACTCTCTTCCAAACAGATGCTTTCAGTCCGAGTACAATCCACAAAGCTTCAAAACAAAGGTCCACCGCCATCTCCTGACATAACTACATTATACTCACTTAAGTACCTCTAGCCCTATGCCTAGAAGTGGCCAAAAATAATTGGCCTTGCATAGAGCGACACCGTTAAAAAAAAAGAAAAAAAAACTATATGAAGACAATTTTTTCGATGTCATCAGATAAAGACGTTACACATTTTTCCTTATATAACATAGCATATACATAACTTATATGACTGTACAGGTCATGAATATTGGTCAGTTCAAATTTCGAATACACAAGGCACGTATGTTATTATTGTTATTATTACAAAAACATGTACTTGTTCCAACCAATATGGGCATCTCATCTCGCAATAATTTGCCAGTGTATGCTTTCTATGCTAAGCATTTTTCTCGACAAGTGCTGGTATTACACTTTTTGAAGTCTTTGGTATGATCCAAAAGAGATTTGAACCTCCGACCTCCGAATACAAGACCGGCACTCTAGCCACTGGGCAATACCATGGGTTCTTTCTGATGAATACGTAGAGTGTTTCAATAAGATATTCCACCACCACCTCATCAGTAGTATTGTGACATGTACATCATTATTAAAAGCTTTCATCGGAAGTGGAAATTACTTTCCTAACGTCAAATACAAACACGTTAGAAGCCGTACAAGGCAACCTGTTGCGAATGGTAAGTTCCACGTGTCATTTGAAAAGACATGCTCTCTTCCACGTAAATCTAATCGTATCGTCTGTAATTATGAAATATTTCGTTTTTGAAAATTGGCTGAGAACCCACACAGGTCAAAGGTCATTAGTGTCCCGGATGTGAACATCATTAGTGCCCCGGATGTATGACCTTCCCACCCAACCGTTTAACCTTGACAAATTCATCTCCATTAGCCTACTGCGATGTAACAACATGTTGTTTGTCGATGAAGATTAAACATCCGTGTAGAACAATTATGTAATAATGAAAAACTAATCAAATCATTCTCCGTGACCAATCAAAGACGGCAGATGCTAACTGAAAACGTCTGGCTTTTCGGAGAATCTTTCCAGTTGCCTGATTTATGACGTTATTAAGATGTGGTTTGTTTTTAGCTTCCCGGCATCCTGATTGGTGCACCATTTAATTACATCAGGCAGCTTGTAATTTTGGGGATCGCAATCAATCAGGCACAATAATGATGCTAATAACATATGGCAATTGCATGGAGGAGTATATGATAACACTGCCGATTTGAATAAAGAATGAGAAAATCAAAATGAAATGAATTTTTTTCTGCTTGATACATGGTATAGTGCTTTTAAGGGATCAATGTAGGATTTGAGGGAGCAAGAATGAAGATGTTAATCCTTATTAACATTTCCAGGGATTTTATTAATTAAAGCTTAAGCACATTTTATTTCGAACTGTCTTGTCGAGAATTTATTTATATTTGGACTGTTCACAAATATACAGGGAATTAATAGGTTTATGCATATATGTATACTTTTACAAATCAACCCTCGCAATGTGATGAATATCATTATCTGATATTGGTTTACTATGAAAATAAATGTAACAGGCCGAAATATGACCTAAATAGTAATTATGTTTCTGTCACAGTATGACGTGAGACGCTTCAATTGGACAGATAATGAAGGAAATAACTTATGATAATTGCACAGATAAAATGTCAGACGACAATTTTGACATAACATTTAGTCCAAACACACCGCTAGGGGAGTAATGTAAGAATTGTGTCGGGCTATTATAATATTCCTGTCGTCAAAACATTGCTGAACAGGAGCGGACGTCAGTCAAATTGGTGAAGAAATTCTCAACCTTCTGCTCAGACATAAACACTTATCTGTAGTGTTCTACTGAAAACCCAGGCCGACGTATTTAAGTGGGCGTTATTTAGTCTCAACGTAGAAGTGGTATTAAGTCCTAGCTCTGTTAACTCAGAGGTCTCGCAACACATTCATATTGAATCTCCTGGACATTCCGTATCTTGGGGGAGTCTAGCCCGGGGGCAGGTTTGGCTGGCCGGACAAACGTAAAAGGGCCAGCCAAACTCCCCCCGGGCTCAACTCCAGCGTAGCGGTAATTTAGGCAGGCGGGCGAAGGGCTCTCGGCTGCCGAAGGAAAACGGCTAACGGCCCGATACTAGTTTGGCATCCAGGGTACTACAGCCCCAGAAAGAGCCCTGCCAAAACCGCCATAGACTGGACACCAGGAGATAGACGTCCAGGCTCAGTCTCAAAGTTTTACTCATGTTTTTTCATCAAACTCGTCGTCGGTAACGGCGGGGGCAAGGGGATGCACACCACTACAGTACTAGAGTCAGACTTATAAAAGTTTCCTACAAAATTTCCCAGACCGATTCATCTGCTTGGAGGCGATGTTTGCGATAAAGATATACAATCATTAAAGCAAAACAGTGCATAGCTTCGTGAGATATGCTGACATCAGATCCATAAACCACAAACAAACCTCTGCACAGTTACAAACACTACCACTTAGACATTCATCCCCAAGCAGATCGTTTGGTGGCTGCAAATGCAGTATCAAATTGGCCAGGCAGTGTCCACTTGCCAGGCAATCCGCCACCCGAAGTTGGGTTGGCGTAAAAAAAGATACCAGTACGAAAATGGAATAAAAACGCCTTAAATCACGTCAAAAATAAGCATAAACCTCTGCTTGGAGAGTTCCAAAACATAACCTTCTTCATGGCATAAACCTATTCATGACGACGGTAACTATGGATAACAACAAACGGAGCTTACACGAAGCCCATTATGATGACCATATGATTCACCTATATGTGAAGAAAATGCTGGTTGCACCCGATGATCTATTGGATTTTACTACAAAACCGCGGCCACAAAACCCAGTAGATCGATGGCCATCATCATGCCATCATGATGTGCATCTAAAACAGCCTGTTCCTAAGTGGCTGGTTATTTCCTGCCGTAACGAGGCCGATAGGCTCTCGTGGTTGATTGGATCTCCAGTGGCGGGAGTCCATACCATACTGAGAAGGCTCTAGGAGTCTAGCCTGGGGGGAAGGGGGCTTAAAGCGATATTATGTAAGATTTTTCACTATTTTAAACATCGTTTTACAAATTTTCTTGTGCTATAAGCCCACCTGGGTTCATAATGACAATTGGGG